ACTGCCTTTTTCTTTAAAAAATATTCAGTATTCAAAAGACATAGCTGAAATCATGAGCTTTTTACATCAATCCCTGCAACTCACCCATCCCCTGGCCTGGTCATTGCATTCTCTGCTCTCCGGAATACATTTTTTCTCTCTCTTCCCAGACAGTATCATAAAATAATTTCTTTGAAGCAGAGTCTGTGAGAATGTTTGCAGCTGTTGCAACCCTTTGAAGATATACCCCTTAAATGAATGCTTTTGCCACTTTCCTTTTCAGTGGATTTCTGCCTTGCTCTGTTGCACTTTAATGTTTATTTTTGCTTACAATGGGATGAAAGCCAGCACATCTAAATGGGGGAGGTTTGTTCAGGGAGGGCAGGGCTGACACAGAGGATGGAATCCCACACATCCTGCCATGTTTCAGACCACAGGTGGATATTCCTGAAGAATATTTGCATCTCTGGTTATTTTAAAATGTAAATGTAGCAACAACAACAAAAAAAACCCCACAAAACAAACACCACACACCTTAAATGACAATTAATTTTTTTAAAATTGAATGTATGCAAGAGCAGCCTTCTAATGTAGTTGTGAATGGTATTGCAGGGCTAAATGAGGTTAAGGACCTCAGTAGGGTACAGCTGGTACAGCTGAGAAAATAGGAAGTTTAGAAAAACATTAGTTTAAATGAATAAGGAGGAGGGCCTAGCATTGAGGGTTCGGAACACTGGATTCTAGGAAGAACAACACACATGCATATGTATATAATTTTACGGAGGGAACCAAGATACGAATGCGGTTGCCTCTACTCTAGCCAGATATCTTTTAAAATGATTTTTAAAAATATTATTATTCGCCTCAGTCTATCTCTCCACAAGGGGTAGGAGTAAACTCTCTAGAACAGAACTCTGCCTCTCTTTGAAAAGCAGTATCATAACATATTTTTGTAAGAAAAGAGGGAGGTCATTTTTTTACACTTTGGCCCAAAGCTCACTGAAATGACCTTTAAACAGTAGTTTGCTTTTGCTCCGCCTGACCTGAACAAAAGATTTCTATTTCATATGCATGTCTATTGCAGCTGTAGATGCCTCTATGGTGAAAGGTCAAGACATTTTATGACCTTTGCAACGGATGACCTAATTGAAGAATCAGGATGGCCTCTTTTGTTGTGCTTCCAGTTTCTGAAAAGAACCACTGGCCAGCTCAATTCTCAAAATGCTCGAATTCCCCAGGCTTTTTGGAACTTACTGGAGCGCACCAAGCAGCTCTGACCTATTTAACTAAGAAAATGTGGTAATTAATTCAAGTCATCGTAGAAGCACTTTCCAAGTCAGTTTTGGGTGTGTTATTTGCAACATTGGTAACTTACGACAGGGAAATAAGAGGCACTCATTTTTAACAGAGGTAGTGTTAAGGTGCCACAATGTTTTTGTCTTCTTTATTTTGTTTTGGTTTTGACTGACATGCTAGCACACAGTAACATGGCTACCTCTTCTAAAACTACAATTATCAAATTTGTCCTACCAGAATGGAACCTCTTAAAAACTCCACCCAATCAATGATTCTGCAAGAGCTTCTGCATATTCTTGCTGTTAATTCCAATGCCTTAACTGTAAAAAAAAAACTGTCAAATTCTTCCCTCTAGCCCATATTTCCAAGTGCACATCAATCAGCTTTCTAACTGCACATTTCCACCCTGACTGGTCACCTTGTGCCCATCTATAAATTAAAAAATGACCTTGCTATTCAGATACAGAACAGTCTTTCTTAGGAGCTGGCTTCTTAGAAAAAGGTATGCTACATTTACTCTTCTGTTGTTTCTCAATGGGTAAGCATGATGTCCAGTGAGCGTCTTTCCTGCTTTAAACTAGAATCTCACTGCTTTTTTAAAATTTCCTTCACTCCCTCCACCCTTTGATTAACTAACTGTATTCCAGCTATAATCAACTTGGCATATCTCCTTTTAAAAAAGCAAAACAGAAACAAAAATGTAACAAGCCAGAGACTGAATAACAATACTAGACTGGACTATCCTAATTTCCCACAAGCAAAATGAGTTTAACAAAGGAATAAGGCTGGTATAGGATAGGTAAACACATTAGTGCCCAATCATAGGTATCCAATTAAAACTGCTCAACCAATAACCTTGATTTCTGTGTTGTTTTCTGTGGGACAGCAGGAGTTTCAACTACACCAAACAGCAAAAGAAACAAAACTAAAATCAAAACACATAAAAATAAACCAGGAATTTTCTTCTCCAGATGAGTATGGGTGTGATCAGAATTAGTCCTGCAGTTCCATCTGCTTTGGGGACAGGCTGAGTCACTTCTTTCCCCAGCAACCACATAATGTCCAGGGAAACTAATGGAGTAGACTTGTCCACATTAAAATATACTGTAGCAGCTATTCTTTAAACTGCCCACATTTCTTTTAATTTTTATTTTGTTTTTGCCTGATTTTCTGAATTAGTGGTCCTGATAATATAGCAGTTAGTCTTTAAGGTGTCATGTTTTTGAATTTTTTTATTTTTGTTTTGTTTTAGCCTGACTTATTTTTCCTGTGACTTAAAACTGTTGCTGCGTTTCTATACTTTTCAGTGGGGGATGGGGGATGCAAAAGTTAGATTGGACTGAACATAAATTTGATTTTAAAATGGCTCTCTTCTTTGTGTATAGAGCATTAACAAGTAACACATGCCAGACGTTCTAAGCCTCTCTTTTAAAAATATGCAGAGGTTTCCTAGCTTAGTCACGCACTCTGAATACCTAGTTACCCTGTTCATCTGACAGCATAGCCCTTTTATTTTGTCTTAAGTATGGGTATTTTTCCAGAGTTTTTTTCTCCTTGATGATTTGAGATTAAGTTACTCTTTTTTTTTGTATTGGATTGAATACAATGGCCGTAATCACAGGATTTAATTAAATTTTGTCTCTTGACAATTACTAAAAGAATGTGTGTGACAAGAAGATTCTACTTTTACATGTAAGAGAACAGGGTTCCTAGTTTCTTATCTGTCCCAGGCAGTCAAGATAAAGCCCACTTTTTCCTGCTGTGATAACACAGTTCCCTCCTAGACATAGCTTTTGATTTGCAGAAACTCAGAGTCTCCGCTGAGTTAATAAACATAATACCATTCTGGATAAAATACAGAGAATATATTTTTAATTTAAATAAATTTAGATATATATAATTTTCTGTCATCACCTCAAAGACTCACCTGAAAGTTATACGTGTGTCTCAGAGTTTCGGAAATGTTGGGATTTTTTTTTACTAGTTACCAGAATCCCTCAATCAACTTTTCTGCATTCCACTAGTAATTCTGATTTTTCAAAAACCACGTTGTTGACTTCTGCAAATGCGTACATTCAAATTCTTCCCTATCCTTAGCATTTATTTCACTATAACACAACACAACCTATCTCAGTGAGTTATTCTGCAGATAAAAATAAGTCAGCTCCATGTTTGTTGTTTGGAGCTCTGTGTTAGAAAGGATGGAACACAATTGAAGAGAATTATTTGCTGCTTCTCTCTTGTCCTTATCAGTTGCTAATCTGCCACTTTCTGCCTTCAGGGATCAGGTGTGTTAAAATATTTGAAAAGAGGTAGATCTTTCATACTTCTAAAACATCCTCCTTCATTATGCCCTACCATGACTTTCATATCTTCCCTGGTTGTTCAACTGTTCGACTGGATGTTTGGACTGAAATTTTATGGCTAGAGAGAACTTGTTTTTATTTATTAACATTTAAATCCGAAAAAAATAATGAATCGAGTTTTACCAGCAATACTTTTTTTTGTACAGTGAAAGATATAAACAAAAAGAAAGTATGTAATAGAAAAAATAAGTATTTTGTGAATCTTAGAAAATGGCTTCTATGAATGTAAGATTTGGTGATGGCTGGCCTTACAGAGTGATCTGTAATGACTGAAAACAAAATGTAGGTCCATGTGCATTTTTGTTTTCTCCAAGGACATCTATCTGCAAACTAAAAGCTGTATTTCTGGAATCTGATCACAGCAGATGGTGGAAAACCTTTTGTCCAATTAGGATTTGAATTACACTACTATTAGCATTTAGCATTAAGCATTTAAAAAATGAAATGCAAAATATCATTCCCTCCCTTTCCTTTCAGAGAAGAATAGTGAAGGTTCTTTAATTGCAAATTTCCCTCCTGGAAATAATCAGTTTTTCTTTCTCCAGAGCCCCCACCACCTTTTTTTAAGAACTGAAAGCTTCCAGCAGCTTTTCTTGACTGCATTTTGCTAACTCTACTGATTTCTGAGAATGCTATTATCTGCTACCATATTTGGTTACTATTAAAACATTAAGATGGCTTATGCAGTACAGAGATGAAATCTTGGTATTCACAGGTTGCAGTCTTCTGAACTGTAAGATGGCATCTCAGGAAAGTTACTTTTTAGAACACAACTCCCAGAATCCCTTAGCCAACGTGAGTATGCTATCTGGGAGATTCTGCAAACTGTAATCCAAAGAAGTAACATTTCTAAGCTCTGCATCCCAGAAGCTGTAGGATAGGTTAGATTCAAGTTCAGGGACAGATCTCCAGCCTTGATCCCAAACATTCCTCCTAACCTCTCCATGTCAGGGATATAAAGTTGGAGATGTAAAAACTAGGTGGATAGGAAAGGTGGTGGATAGCCCCCTGCCATGCCCCCATTCAGGCCAACCTGGAGCTGATGTAATGGTTTTCCCTCCTCCAGAATTAAGATAGGAGGAAAGGAAATGTGAATCCTGTTCTCCCTCCCTTTCCCTTCTCTTTCTAGCGACTAGAAATGTCAGAGCATTCTAACATCCTGGTTGTCAGCAGGCTGAGTTTTTCACAACATTCAGTTTCAGCAACCACCCACATAAGTGCCAATACATTCAAGTAAAAGCTTTGACTAAATTTTGTCATATATTTTCTGAGAGTATGCTGCGATCCTCCCTCAAAGGACTATTACAGCTTTCCAAAGCTAATGTTGTTTAAAATGGGATGGTGTTGGTATCAATACCATTCACATTTTTATTAATTTTTTATTTCATAAAAAAGACAGTATCAGATTAAAAATACAAACACTTTAGGTGATTATCCAGCTTTTCCCCCTGCCTCATAGAGATCAAACTAACCAATGAGCAAGACAAAAAGAACAACATTTTTAAAAGGAAACATTTTGGCCATAGCTGTAAAATAATGCTGCACCAATTAAATTACACCAAAATATATTATTATACCTTTGAAATGGCTTTCAGACCAATAAATTAAAAAAATGACAAATTCAAATTAAAAAGTCAACTTTGAAATATAAAAAAGGAACTTCCCAAATTAAATAAGGAAAAAAAATACACAACACTAATAATAACAATGTGCAGTCATGTGTTCTGCTTCTTCTAGGAATGATAATATGTCAGTAAGTCCTTACAGAACATTTTTCCAGTTTGGCAGAAATCAATCAATCATTCACATTTGTACATAAAATGGCAGGCCTGGGCATCATCTACTTAGGTAGAGCTCACTTTGGAAGTGATTGTTAGTTCCTCCCAACAGGAGACGAGAGTTCCCTTTCCCTCCCTGCGTACATCAATTAAACGTTTAATTGTGTCAGACAAGCAGAGTAAGTCAGCACTATTTCATAGAAACCCACTTCCAACACAACTTGAGATTGGTCCTATAACAGCAAGCAATGTTTGTACAAAGCTGAATCGAAGCATGGCCTTTATGTTGATAAATATTTTAACCAAATTGCTGGGGGGGGAAGGCTGTAAATTTATATACCCCTCTCTAAGGCTGCAATCAATCCTATGCTCACTTATTTGGGAGTAAATTCCTGTGAACTCATTAGGATTGACTTCTAAGTAAACATGCTTTAGGGATAGGCTGTCCACATAGTACACAGTATGCGAGGTAAGAGAAGGTAAGTTACTTATACTGTGTTAGGTATTCAACAGTATACAAAGAAGAAAATGTTCTCAGCACAGGACAGAAGAATTCTGTCCTCATTTGCGCAAGTATGGCTATATAGATTTTGCAGGGATTCAGTGGCATTTGCTGAAGATCGAATAATTAATTGGTTCCAAAACTTTTTCCTAGATATAGCAGTCCTCAAGAACTGGAAGAGTTCCTCTGGAAAAATAAAACCAATAAATTCACTTGTCATTCTGAAATGAAAGTATTCTAATTAAAAAAATTAGTCTGTTCAGACATAATTATGAGAAATGTAAAATAATACTTTCTTATAACTCACATATCATTCATTGTGTAATCTCTTGAGTTTGGCACTAGTTTCCTGCAACATTTGGAGGTGCATGTTAAAATGGGCCAAATTCTTTACTCAGGTAACTCATGAGGTTGGAAGTGTTAAATGCAGGAACAGAATCCTGGCCAATTTTTTCTCATTAGATGTGAGGACTAAGACTTTATTTTAAAGCTGCAAGATTTTCACACTGTAAGCTAATTTTATGATGAAACTCAGCTGGAACTGCTTGTAGGGATAATTGTGAACCAAAGTGGGCCCCATGATTCTGAATTGCCCAGGCCTGTTAAATACATAGTGCGTATTTAAAGAAAGGCTTACATTCACATAATTCTAGTAGACCCAACTGGTACCTTTATGGGAGCTAAAGCCTTCAACTGCAATTTTAAATTTATGTCCATGAGACATGTTTTATCTTCTTCAATTTGACCCCACTGGCCATACGACAACATCCGTAATACATACACATTCTTAAACTGTATTTCTCATTAAGTCTCCTATCTGATTCCCGTATTCCTGCTCAAAAGTCACATTTCTTCTATTTTCATAATGCATCACTTATTGACACAGTCTCTGGAGTTCTGTGCTATGCTTTTGAAATATGTAACTATGAATTCAAATTCTTTGACAAAACCTAAATTCTGCCATTCATCAAACTAAAAATCTATTACATTAGTTTGCACAATTAGATATATGGTATACATTTTCATAATTTTTGTGACTCACACAATTTGCACAGCGGAACAAGTTCTTCCTCCCTTCCCCATCAGAATTTCTTTAATCTTAGGAAATGCTTGTTTGATCTCAATGTTTTGTTTTTGATCTCCTGTGTGTTGATTTCTTGTTTTAAACTTATCTTAGATTATCAGTTGTTCTTCCTAGTAAGAGATTTGTATTGGTTTGTTCTGCTACATACTCGTACCCTAGACCCTTTCCTTAAATTCCTGTGTAGCTTGATTCTATAGAAACCAGATTCTGTTGATTCCTTAAAAAGTTCAGAGGAGGATGATCAAGATAGTAAATTATTTGGAAACCACAACCTATCAGAACAGTTGAAGGAGCTGGTTATGTTTAGCCTGGGGAAGAGAAGACAGTGAGCCATCTTCAAATATTTGAAGGGCTGTGATAGAGAAAGTGAAGGTTGTTTTCTTTGAGTGCATAGAGTAGTACCCAAGTTAAAGGATTCAAAGCAGGTTTTGACTAAATGTTTGGAAGAACTTCCTATTAGTGATGTCAACTGTCATTGTTATTGTCAATTGACAGTGGAGTGGACTATTTTGGAAGATGATAAGACTTTCCTTCACTTTAGATTTTTAAACAGAGGTTGAATGGGCTGTTTTCTGTCATGGGCATTTTAGCTGTAAATCTCCTATATCAGGACTAGAATGAAGTTGATAATCCTTTGAGGTTCTTGCCAGCTATACAATTCTTAAATACTGTTGAGTTTTTCCACTTTCTTAATGCAACTGGAGAAAATCTCATTGGTGAACTGTTGCAAGTTTAAAAGTTAGTGAGGCATTTGCTGTTGTGTGCGTAGTTACACAACTTGAACACAACAACAAATGCTGATCTAATTCCTTCACTTATAGCAATTTGCCAGTGAAGTTAACACCAATTCTATTATGCCAGCAGACACAAATAATAGGATTTTGGACTATGATTCTAATAGTTATTCTTTGAACCGGAGTTTTCTTACCAAATCTGTTAAGCAAAAACTGGGGAAAAAGAAGAAATTTAATGGAAGGAAGAGATGGAAGACAGTGATTCCATGAAATGAAGGCATGCTTGAATCTAATTGAAGGAATTAAAATTCAATTGTGTAACACCACAATAGCATTCCACTAACTTTATGGGAAATCAATAACTGTTTCTTTGGATTGTGCCTACCAATGGGAGCTACAGATAATGTGGAATAGCAGATGCACTGAAGCTTGAATAAAAACTGTCAAGACATTTTAGTTTTCCTCTGCAACCAATAATATCAGGATTCTCCACCACTTCTGCCCAATTTGAAGCCATATTCTAATACATCAGTATGGCTATGCAGATTTTCAGAGACCTTGGTTGCTTCTTTTGTTTGGGGAAAAACGTATCTCCTTCCATACTTTCACTATCTTGTCAACATTTCACTATCTCACTATCTCTTTCTAGCCTAAACTCTACACAAAACACTTCCCAACGCAATTATAAAATGTCTTCTCACAGGGTAGCATGACCAGCAGATAACTGGCAGTGCCGATCACTGGCTGAACAAGTAGGCATTGATCTGTGTGTGCAGCAGACAACCCACTGCTGCACATGTGTTTCTCTGGATCAGGGTTTTGTTTGGCTTGGAATCAGAAAATGTCATTCCCTTGAACATGTGGGCATTATCAAATCCACCTGCAAATAACTTTACTGTTGACTTTTTCTTTTTAAAAATGTTTTTCTTTTCTTTTAGCATTATAGCTTTTCCAGTGGTAAGTTACCTTCTCTAATATAAATACATGTACCCTTTTTCCAGTTTACATTTTGTCTAGCTTCAGCTTATAGCCACTGGAACATGATCTTTTTCTGTCTGCCAGATTCATGAGGTTTCACTTTATACATTATTGTAACTTCTTTTGACATTAGGTAGTATTTTGACTATATAAGCTGTAAGGTTGCATAATGAGTATGAGATGAATTTTTCCTCAACAGACCTCAACAGACACTATGACTGTTCAATATCTCTTCCATTACACCACCATGGCCAGCAAATTAAAAATTGGGCCAACTCCATCATAAAGGTACCCAAGACCCTTTTCTTCCAGCCCTGCTATCTCCCACCTGCTAGTTTAGTTTGTTACAGATCTCCAGAGCTTTCTTGTAGACCTGAGTGACATCATCCATGTCTGTAAGGAGGGAAAAACTGCTGTCGCCTGTCCGATTCCGATAGCGTTTCAGGTACTGTGGTCGAGAGCGGTTTTGAAGTCCCTGGAAATCTTGCATCTGAAGAACATTTTCAGCTGACACGCAGCTCCTGATTCTGAGCCTATTCTCTTGCAAGTCCACCAAGTCAAATGAGTCACTTGATAGGATGCTGTCATCACTGATTACACTAGAAGGGCGGCTGTAACTTCGAGATAATCCATCTCCGGGCAGAATTGCTTCCTCCATAGCTTCCAGTGTTGGTGCATCTGGGCTGATTAAAGCTGAATCCGTGCTACTGGGGGAATATTTGCTGCTGTGTTTTAAAATACCCTTCCGTCTGTAAGAATGGCTATGAGGCTCTATTCTTAATGTTTCAGTTACACCTGGGGATGTGTCACTGTTTCCCACATCCTCATTATGGTCCAAGAGTTCTGAAGATTCACTCCGTTCTGGAGAGGAGTAGTATCCTGATTCTCTTTGCTGAGTCTTCTTGAGGATTCCTTTTTTTGGCATTAAGGAAGACTGCTTAGTGCTATATTTACCCGTTACTTCCCCTTCCACAACACACTTAATGGACATGCCTGTCCTATATAACTCCTGCTCTGTTTTAAAAGTGGAAGGCAATACTGGATTGACTACTCCTTCAATAAATCCTGCACTATGAGATCGATGTTCACTATTGCTCCTTTTCTTCAGGATGCCTTTTGGCCTTTTGGAGTTTAATTTACATGCATTTTCGACACCTCCTTCCTGAATAGACTGTACTATGTCATTTTCCTTCTTTGATTTTTTCAGAGACCTCTGTCTCTCTAGCATGACTTCGGATCCTTTGGGTTTCGAAAGGCACTTAATTTTGGTATCAGACTCTGGCTGGAGGCCATTAGAACGATGATGCCAGTCTATGAACCTAGACAGCAGAGGGGACTCAGAGTCTTGCAATGCATCACAGTCGCAAACACTGCTTTTATAGCCCCAGTTAACCCACCAATGATTGGCTATGTCTTCAATAGTTGCTCGGCGTTCTGGATTCACCATCAACATCCATCTGATCAAGCCACGAGCATCTACAAAGAATACCAATTAATAATTTCTTTTTAAGCATTTTTCAGTTTAATTCAAAAACAGCCATGTGACGTATTAACAGGCATTCTAAAATGCTAAAAGGGGTTAGAGCTATAGCTCTTTGGAAATGCATACGAAGATATAGGAGTATTTAGTCCCTACCTCCACAGATACACTCACTATGTTGAAATGAGTGCCCCTCCCCTTTCTTGCCACCTTCTAGATGTGGAAAGTGATATGTCTGCAGAGCACCTGTTCCTGTTCACATGTAGGCTCTACATGCAAGTATCCCCATTTCTTCAGTTTTGTTAGACGTAGAGCCTAAGGGCAAGCAGAAATGTTTCTATCGTACATATATAACTTTCCATGTGAACTAATAAATTATGGAGGGGTGGAGGGAATAAGGCATTCCCTTATATGTTTGCAAATACATCTATGGAAGTAGCAACTGAATATTTCTATGGTGTTCCCTACCTGAAAATTCATAATACTTAATTATTAAGTTTAGACACTTAATACAAGTAGATTTCTATATCAGTTTTCATCTCATGGTGTGCCCATGTCACTGAATCACTACAGTTTATTTCTCTTTACCACAGTAAACGTGGTTTGGACTGTACCACTTCACACAGTACCTGAGTGCTTACATGACCAATTATACTTCATATAATAAATAACTTTATTTATTATATATCTGTTCATACTAAATTCATAGTATGAATAAGACTGATAGATAAATCCTGCTCTCTGATACCCAGTTTTTAATGTTTGCTGTTATGTGTCATCAAGTCAGAACCAACTGACAGTGATCTTGATAGGGCTTTCAGGCTAAATGAGATATTTATGGAGTGGTTGTGCCAGTTCCACACTCCCCATGGGTGAGTAGGGATTTGAATACAGGCCTTCTGACTGTCACTCTACCAACCATGCCACATTTTTTATAGGTAAGACCATTTCATCATGTAAATCCCTATCTACATGAAGAAGCATAACCACAAACTGAGATTCTTTCAAGATTTTGTTACATCTGCATTCTTAAGTGGAACAACCTGACTTGTACTTTCCAGAAGTCATTTATGGAGCAGACTACAGTCCTTTGGTTTTCTAATTTCTCTGAATACTGCAATTCTTGGCTCAATAAACCTATTAAAGTTTTGGAGTATTAAAATACATTTAAACATGCATATAAAATGCATATTTTAGAAATAAATGTACAGTACTCTAATCATTTTAGGTGAAATGCATATAACAATATGTATTTTGGGGGAAAACATAAAATGTGGATTTATATATGTTTGTGTGTGTGTGTGTGTGTGTGTGTTATGCTCTTTTATACTATTTGTCCACAGTTTACACATTTTAAAGTGTACGCTTTTAAATGTGTAAGCATTACAAACAGAGGAATGTCCCCAAAATATATTTTTGAGAATGTTAATATCCACACCATAATTATTCTTAGACCTTAAAAATTTAGGAAACCATAAAAACAGCAATCATCAGATATATTAGCTTGCCTGTTTTCTCAGTTCCATCACACATACAAAATAAAAGGTAGAGGAGGTGAGGGGACATGGAAAATTCATAGTGTCAGAGAAGATAGCATCAGTCAATATGTTAAAAATTATGAACATTCAGTGAAATGGATTATAAATTATATAACCAAAAGGAGCCATTGTGAACAATCTGTCAGAATAAACTTCTTAATTTCTGTTGTGGTATTATCAGCCCTTTTCTGTGTCATAAGATACACAAATATTATTACTCATGTTAGACATTGGACAAAATTGTTCAGCTGAAATTTGCTCCCCTGGGTTTATTCATTATTTTCTTGAGACTGGGTAAATATAAAGACTAAGGCAGAGCACTACTGTGAATCATTTACTGCTTGTCTGAGCAATTACATTTTCAAAGGTTAAGAGACTTTCCATTGACAAAGTCTTAGCAAAAAAGAGTTTGATGATGTTTCTTGAATCCAGTAAAATCATGTTACCCTAAGAAGTTCTTGGTTAGGCCACTACCCAGATAAGAACTGAGGACAGACTATGTTTTGATGACTGAAAAAGAAGAAAGTGGGTGCAATTTGTGAAGTTCCATGTGAGCTGCAACAGATTGGGGGATTTACAGTCTTTCTAATCATTAGGCTTCAGATTTATACCTGAAGGCTGTGTTGGCTCACGGTATTCTCCACTGCTGATTTGTCTGATTAGATTTTTGTGATCAAAGCCATCAAATGGCATTGTTCCATAAACCAGAGTGTAAAGTAACACACCAAGGGCCCAGCTGTCAACCTAAAGCAGAGAAACAAAAAAAAAAATAAGGATTAGGGATTGAACTATAATAGGAACAGAACATCCACTTATGCTTAATAATGAGCATATGGATATCCTGTGGAAAAACTGGCAATCTGTATGCAAAGCAACTGCAAGCATCATTTGATGGGATTTCCATATAAGAAATAAGTAATTTGAATTATCAAGACAAGCCAGTTAATCAAATTCTAAAGATTCACACACACCAAACATATAACTATTTTCATCCCAAATCTTCTGCTTACTTCTGGGCCTCGATAAGGTCTTCCATTGACAATCTCAGGAGATGCATATAATGGACTTCCACAGAAGGTTTGGAGAAATTTGTCTTTCTGATAAAGATTTGAAAGCCCAAAATCTGCAATCTGTAAAGAAAAATGAGTGGCTGTAAAGAGAGAGTTTGACCAGGGAACCGTGACAGTTTCATGGATTTGCTCTCTTCAATATTAAACTAGGAAGATTTATAAAATTAATTCCAATGTGGTAATATGTTTGCCTCAACATTCAGTTCCTTCAATTCAGTTGCCCATCTCCCCCACAATATTGCCAATGGGCTTATGCAATCTAAAACAGTTACCTCAACATTTCTAACTCAGCAATTCATTGATATACGCCTGCACATTGGTAAAACACCAAATGAAAACAATTTTGATACAAATGTAGGTTCAATCATGTTGAGACAGCTTTTCTGGGCTATTTGATGAATGACTCAAATGCAACATGAATTGGGTTAATTCAGAAATTTTAATGGAATCACACATACTATCAAGGGAGAGGCAGGAAGCAAATTATATAGCTGCAACAACCTATACCTGTGCAGTATAGTGTGCAGAATCTGGAAACGAAAACCCAGAATAGTGAGAGATAGCTATGATTCATCATTGTGAAGGGTCGTTTGGTTGGGCTTCCCTTGTTTTCAATAAAACACAATCAGATGGTTTATCAAATAACTTGTTGTTGTTTATTACTTCACCCAACGGGGTTTTAACCATAACATGTTTGTTTCACTGAGTCTCTTGTTCAAGCAACGGCTCTTGCAAGGGCAACCAAAGGCTTTCATCCATAACGTTTCTCAAACTCTGGCCCCATGGACCGGCACAAACTTGTCCCTGACCCTCAGTTCCAAAACCTGGTCAGTAGGACTTAGAAGTGGGAGGGTCTCTTCATCTCCCATCCATCCCCAGGACGGGTCTCTCTCTCTTGGCGATTCACCCCGAGGTCCAGGAAGCATCCCATCTTCCTCAGTTCTTCTAAATGCCATGCCCAGTGAGCCTCTCTTTCCCTTGAGATGGCTTCCTTCTCCTCCCTAATTTTTCTTCTCCATTCACGGGTCTCGGACTCACCCCAATACGATGGCTTTTGGGGTAATCCTTTCTTCCTCCGATTCTCCGCTTCAGCTTTAGGCACCCGGACTTGTTCCCATTTTCCCATCCGCGGGTCCTGCAGCCATATCCATTCCCAACCTCCAGGAATGTTGTCTTGTTCTGCCTTGATTTCTCCCAGCCCCCTTCCTCCACCACCTCATGAACCTCCTTCCTTCCTGCCAATTCTTCCTTAAAAGGATTAGTTATTTTTAACCCTTTCCATCTCTCTTTCAGCACTCGGGTGTCCACTGCTTTTGACACCCCTTTCCCCCATGTATTTGCCTCTTCTAAATCCTGAGTATCTGAGCCTTGATCCCTTTTACGACTTAGGGTAGTCGGTGGAGATGGCTCCACCAGAAAGATCCGGTATTTCTGGTCTTTCCCTTCACAATCATCTTTCTTAGTAAGAAGTTCTTATTTGAAAATAAGACGATAGTACTTAAACCCCAAAATACAAACAGAAATGTTTGCAAAAGCAACATTTCAGAAGCCACTGTGAACCAAAAAGAGCTCAAACCTTAGGTTGCAAGGTTCTGAGCCTTGGGATGTTAGAATATTTCTCCCCAAAGTGATTTAGTCTTTATCCTTCTGTTCCCAACTACTAGAAATTGTTCCAACTTGGGTGTGGATTTAAATAGCATGAATCACAATTTTTTAATCTTGGAAAAGATTAGAGCACGATCCTTACTTAACTCTTAGGCTGTAAGTGACTTTTGTTGAACCAGCGAGTAATTCTTCACCAAGTTAAATTAGCTTCAATGAATCCCGCCTTCTTCCAAAGCATGTGGATTGACAGACTCATTTGCCTGTTTGTACTAACCCTGAATTAATGAGACATCTGGGTATGGGATTTTCTTAAATCACTATTTGTTTCTGGCATGTTAATATTCAGATAATGGAACCTAATCTGGAGAGACACATCTGTATCATAGATGTGAACAAATGGGAGAAAAGTCTGACTTTAAGAAAGAAGCCTGCATTAGGTAGTTTGCGGGACCCTTTTTTGTTCTGTGATTTCTGACTCTTCAGTGTCAAAACTTCCACTATAGGCAAAACAGCAACCAAATTTGTGTATACTGCTATCATTTTCACTTGTGTTGCACATAGATACTATTCAGTGTACACTATCTAGCCATTCATCTCTGCTATTTTTACTAATGTTTATTATTTCTTTTACTATAGAAACTTACTATATTAGAATTATGAATTTCAAATTAATCTGAATTATGATTTTAAAACAAAGTCTGCATTTCAACACATGTCCCAGCAATTTGCTGAGGGAAAATGCAAGTGAGAAACTCTGGGGAAATGGTATACTGTAAAATCTGCAAGGCATGGCTGGAATCTAGTTGGAAGCAGCTGGTATATACTGTAACTGCAAATTGCAAATGTACTCTCAATGCTCAGGCTGTAGTTAATTGCTTAAAATAAATGTTAGGCTATCAATCACCCTGAATGGTTTGGAAGAAGTCAGTCTTAAGATAAACAGCAGTACCCTGTCAATCCAAATTTAATTTTTTTTTCAGTACTTAAGTCTGCAACCTAGTCTATGGAATCAACTTCAAGGCACAACACTTATGCACCAAGATGGTTGAGACTAGCTGAGCTGCCACTAAACCAACTGAGGCTCTGCTGAATCCAACCTTCTTCTATTCTTACTTAAACCTACCTTGTCCCTGGCCTAATCCTGCGTTCTTTGATCTCATACCCTTGCCTGAGAGGAGTTTGAACCAGAAGTCAGCTCCTCTCCTAATCAAAAATTTTTGAGGGTTGGAACTCTTCTATGAGCTAGTTTCAGCCGGCATACCAATATTGTTGACAGATCCAGATTAGAGATCGGCAATATTGTTGACAGATCCAGATTAGAGATCAGCCAGCACAAGAGGCTTCTGCCATTCCAAACCTGTATTATTCTACCTATCTTCTTTTCCTGCTCCATTTTCATTTTTCTCTTTTTGACAGTTGAAGACCCACTTCTTCAAGCACGCTTTTAATAATCCATGACTGAGACCTTAGATGCTGTTTTTTTTAAAGTTTGGTTTTAATTTTTTTAATTTTTTCAATTACTTAATGTATTTGTAACTATTATTATGCAGTTTAGTTCCTTTTTAATCTGCAATTTATTATGTTTTTACTATCACTAGTTCTGACATTGTGAGCCACTCGGGTCCACTCACAGGGAGAAATGTGGCCTACAATATATACCCATCCTACAGTATGTACAATCCTTTGAAAATTATTGGATGAAATATATAAGTTAAGACTTCTTAATGTGAGTAGCTATCTTAAAAACAGAGAAATAATTACATTAACTCACAAAACAACACATCAATAATTTACATTCCCAGATGTGTTTCCTTGCGGACAAATATTGTTTACTGAAACACTGGGGATGGAGAAGTCCCTCTGATTAAAACAAAATCACCTTTTAAAAAATTCTAAATCTATAGTATCAAGGCTGATAGCAGGATTTTGTTCTACATGAAATACTATAGATTTGCCTCAGCAATGTGGCAAGTAAGATACTGGGGGGGGAGGGGGAGGAAGAAGTTTCATTTGAAAAAAATCCAAGTTCTGGCTCTGTTGACTATGATAAGAAAAAGACTGACCATCTGGAGAATAAAACTGAAACATTCTTCAATATCCAGTTTTAGCTTCTCAAAATGTTCACTGATACAAGTATTTGTACATATGCATATGTGATATAGATGTGACAAGCACTTGTAAAATTTCTGAGTTTCACTGATTGCCTGAGTTTTACCATGCCAAGATTCCCCACTGAGACTTTCTCCTGCATCAGTCAGATTTCCCAGCTTCCCATAAAAATTAGATTCTGATCTCTTTTTCTCTTTTACTTTCCTTTATATTTCACTTTTGTTCTGCAAAGTGAACTAGCAAACTTGCACAGGTCAGTGCCTCTGAGAGCATTCTGAACCAGAAAGGAAAGAAGTCTGATATTCTGCACATGAATTTTATCAATTCCTTGGTGTTCCTTCCGCTCTTTCCAGGTGAACAGTGCACAGGAAAGATGTCATTCTGAACTGTAATAATCTTGCACTACTGCCATTGTTCTATTAAAAAGTGACTACAGTGGGGTCTTGACTTAAGAACGACTTGAGTTAAGAACATTTTGACTTAAGAACCGCTCTCATAGGAAAATATTGACTTGACTTACATAGATTTGAGTTAAGAACTGAAAAAAAACCACGTGGGAGGCAGGGAAAGTGCAAAATTTGAACTTTCAGTTAACTGTTGGCCAGTGAAAAGCGTGCCTGTCTGCTTCCTCACTCCTCCCAGCGTTTAGAGAGTGGATTGCGAGACAGTCGTCAGACTGCCTGGACTGTATTTTCCCTGCCTTCCCTGAACCTTTCTTGACCCAAGAAAAAAAGAAACAAAATATCCCCCTCTAGTGGTCGAAGGCGGAATAGCAGCTTCCCATTAGTTTCTATGGACGGAAAAGAGCAGATAGGGATCAAATGGGTTTTAATGCATTCCTATGAGAAATGCAGATTTGACCTGAAAACTTTTTGTCTTGAGAACCGCCTTCCAATACGGATTAAGTTCTCAAGTCAAGACCCCACTGTACAAAACATCCCAGAAATTTTGTAAGATTTTCTTGAAGGATTACTTTGTGAAAAAATCTCATGCAGAGAAATCTCACAACTAAAAGGGTGAAGGTTTTTCCTCCCTCATTTTCTGTATGAGATCAAAAGCCTACAAAATTCATATACCTTAGACTGTGTTCCAAACACCACTTTTTTCATTTCATTTCCTTTTCCCCTTAGATAAGGAGTGGGTGATCTGCGTGGGGTCAAAGCCAAACTTGTATGTTGGGCAGCAGCTCAAGGGCTGCTCCCCCTAGAAAACATGAGCAAACTGGCTAATTAGTGTTTTTTTAAAAAATATATATATTTCTTTTTTAAAAATTATTGGTTTTAATGACTTTAACATAATTTAATAAAAAAACTGGTAGGCAATGAATTACTAAATAAATGAAAATA